CTCTATGGCCAGTCCTACTCTGCCCTGCCAACGCAAGTGCTACTGCGGACACAATGCTAGCATAGGGGAAAAGACACAATGGGGAGAGCTACAAGGTTCAGGTCTGGCTACTGACCCAACAATACAATAAACAAGAGATCCCTGTGCTCAAATCCCAGCAGCTAGTGCATGCATTTATCCATCAGGTGCTAAAGGGGTGTAACCACATATTAACACTAGAAATTCTGAAGGACCCTCTGCACACTGGTATATACCCTTTCAAGCAGACTATGCAATAAATAGGGATATTTAGTTCACACATATTGCAATACATGCTTAAGCTGGCCAACTATGTCAAAGTAATCCCTCTATGGCCAGTCCTACTCTGCCCTGCCTACGCAAATGCTACTGTCCACCAGCTTTCCATACATACACTATATTGCCAAAAGTATTGGGCCAGCCCTCCAAATCATTGGATTCAGGTGTTCCAATCACCTCCATGACCACAGGTGTATACAATCAAGCACCTAGGCATGCAGACTGCTTCTACAAACATTTGTGAAAGCAACTGGGAACAACAGCAACTCAGCCACCAAGTGGTAGGCCACATAAAATGACAGAGCGGGATCAGCACATGCTGAAGCACACAGTGTGCAGAAGTTGCCAACTGTCTGCAGAGTCAATAGTTAAAGACCTCCAAACTCCATGTGGCCTTCAGATTAGCATAACAACAGTGCATAGAGAGCTTCATGGCCAAGCAGCTGCATCCAAGCCTTACATCACCAAGTGCAATGCAAAGCATCAGATGCAGTGGTGTAAAGCACGCCGCCACTGGACTCTAGAGCAGTGGAGACGTGTTCTCTGGAGTGACCAATCACCCTTCTCTGTCTGGCAATCCGATGGACGTGTGTGGGTTTGGCGGTTGCCAGGAGAACAGTACTTGCCTGACTGCATTATGCCAAGTGTAAAGTTTGTTGAAGGAGGGATTATGGTGTGGGGTCTCATGTCAGGGGTTGGGCTTGGCCCCTTAGTTCCAGTGAAGGGAACTCCAATACATTTTGAACAATTTTCCTTCCTGTTCCAACATTACTGCGCACCAGTGCACAAAGCAAGGTCCATAAAGACATGGACGAATGAGTTTGGGGTGGAGGAACTTGACTGGCCTGCACAGAGTCCTGACCTCAACCCAATAGAACACCTTTGGGATGAATTAAAGCGGAGACTGCAAGCCAGGCCTTCGTGTCCGACATCAGTGCCTGACCTCACAAATGCGCTTCTGGAAGAATTGGCAAACATTCCCATAGACACACTCCTAAAGCTTGTGGACAGCCTTCCCAGAAGAGTTGATGCTGTTATAGTTGCAAAGGGTGAGCCAACTCAATATTGAACCCTACAGACTAAGACTGGGATGCCAATAAAGTTCATGTGCGTGGAATGGCAGATACTTTTGGCAATATAGTGTACATATAATTACATAGTCAGGTTGAAAAAAGACACTAGTCCTTCTAGTTCAACCAACAAAAAAAAATACAAAATATAATAAATAAATAGAAAACCTCCATATATAAGATTCTATACCCACAGTTGATCCAGAGGAAGGCAAAACCCCAGTGAAACATGATCCAATGTGCTTCAGCGGGGGAGGAAAATACATTCCTTCTTGATCCCCTAGGAGGCAACCATATATTCTCTGGGTCAATAATCCTTGGTGTTACTACCTATAAATGTTATTATCTAGTTATATTTTGAACACATCCAGCTGTTTTTAAAATGTTCTACTGATCTGGCCAGCACTAGTTCTTGAGAGTGTCCACATTTTCAGAAGAATCCTTTCCATATGTGAAGGTTAAATCTCTTTTCCTCCAGCCATAAAGAATGCCCCCTTGTCCCCTGTAATGACCTGAAAGTGAATAACTTTACATTGAGTTCACTATGTGGACCACTTATGCTAAGCATATCCCCCCTTAAATCCCTGTTTTCAAGAGAAAATAAATTCAGTTCCTCTAATCTTTCCTCACAGCTGAGCTCCTCCATGGCTCTTATCAGTTTGATTGCCCTTCTCTGTACTTTCTCCAATTCTCCTTTTTGTTAACTGGTATCCAAAACTGAATGGTTTCCAGATGAGGTGACGAATGATTTGTACAATGGCAAAATGATATCTCTCTGTCTCTGGAGTCTCTATTTCTTCTTTTAATAAATGCAATTTTTCTAGTTTCAGAAACTGCAGCTTGGCATTGCATGCTATTATTAAGTCTACCAGAACAACCAGATCCTTCTAGATCATATGTGTTAAACACAAGGCTCGGGGGGCCAAATCCGGCCCGCTAGGCCATTTCATATTTTTTAGCCAGAACGTGGAGAAGTGGTGCAGAGATCAAAGCCAAGGGGTGGAAGGTAGAAAGAGACCTGAACCCTACACACTGTGCATAGCACACCTCTAAACCCTGACCTCTGTAAACAGCGCATTGTTAAACTCTGCACATCATATACTCCTGAACTTTGCACTCTGTATGCAGTGCACCAAAAAAAACCCTGCATTCTTTACGTAGTATATACTGAACTCTGCATACATAGTCTTACAGACGCAACCAGGCCTTTGAAGGCAACCCTAAAGCTGATGTGGCCCGCAATTAAATAGAGTTTGACACCCCTGTCCTAGACCATTGACTCTCCCAGTTGTACTCTTCCTAAAATGTAAGAAGCATATAGCAGAAATGCTCAGAAATGTGCTTCTTGCAGATATAACAGTCAATACTTTTTTTGCTGCCTATGTTACCTTTCTCTGTTGTATTGAAAGGAAAGGAATCTTCAAAATCCAACACTTCCAGTGGTGTGTAATTCTAGATTCTCTATGGTTTCTCCCTCAGCCCTTATGTTACTGCAGGACACAGTAATGAGTAAGTGTAGCAAGTGACCAGGTATCTGACACTCCCAGAAATGTCGGACTCTGGAGATCAAGTGGCAAATATCTGTCAGGACAGGCTCTCTCTACACCTGCGCCCATGAGAGTGAGTCACTGGAGTCTCAGATCAAATCATTACATTGAAGCCCAACTCCTGGAAAACTAAAACATTTCCTTTGGAGTGGGGCTCATTTGCTCTGCAAAGTTTCACTGCTCAGTTAATCTGGGGGGAGTTTTTGCACTTTAACCAGTTCAATTCTGACCATGTTTACCCCCTTCCTGCCCAGGCCATCTTTCAGCACACGAATCGAGCTTTCTTTTGGTGGTATTTGATCACCACTGGATTTTTTTATTCTTACTAAATACATGAAAAAAATGAGTTTTTCTTATAGTTTTAGAGTTTTAGTTATAAAATTTTGCAAATAAATATTCTTTCTTCAAAAATTAAGGCCAAAATGTATTTTGCTACATGTCTTTAGTAAAATAAAACCCAATAAGTATATAATAATTGGTTTGTGTTAAAGTTATATCGTCTATAAACTATGGTATATATGTTATATTTGAAAATCAATTAATCTTGATGTAATGATGGCCTATCTCATTTCTTGAGACCCGAAAATGCCAAACGGTACAAATGAACCCTTTCTGGAAAGTAGATAGTCCATGGTATTTAGTAAAAGGCATGACCACTTTGAAAGCCTGAAGGTGCGTAACTTCCTCGTTTCACTTCCTCATACCTATAACAATTTCGGAGGTCCTGAAATGCCAGAATAGCACCAACCCCCCCCCCCCCCAAATGACCCCTTTTTGGAAAGTAGACACCCCAAGGAATTTAAAAAGAGGCATGGTGAGTATTTTGCAGATCTAATTTTTTCTCACAAGGTTTTGAAATATATTAAAAAGAAAAGAAAAAATATGTTTTTGTTTTCTTACTTCATTTTCCAAAAACTTGTGGCAACAAAGGAGATCTGCAAAATAATAACCATGCTTCTTATCAAATTCCTTGGGGGGTGTCTATTATTCAAAAAGGAGTCATTTGGGGGGGGGGGGGGGGTTTGGTGCATTTCAGGGTCTCTGAAACTGTGATAGGTAGTGAGGAAGTGTAATGAGGAAATAAAGCCCTTTAAAAGCCTGAAGGTGCTTATTGGATTTTGGGGTCCTTGTGTGAAAATAATTTTTTTTTGTCATTTTCCAAAAACTTGTGGTAAAAATTAAATTCTTCTATTGACTCAACATGCCTCTCAGCAAATAGTTTGGGGTGTCTACTTTCCAAAAAGGGGGTCATTTTGGGGGGTGAGGGCATTTTATGCCCAGCATTAGAAGAAGACCAAGCATTTTCTGACACTTTTTGTTCACATGAAATCAGTATTTTTTGCTAGGAAATTACTTTTAACCCCCAAACATTATATATTTTTTAAAGCAGACACTCTAGTGAATAAAATGGTGGGTGCTGCAATTATTTATTTCACAATGAACTCACGCAGTGATTTTTCAAACGCAAATTTAAAAAAAAAACTTTTTTTACTTTTAATGCACAAAACACAATATATTGGCCAATTATTTGGTAGAATGTAAACGATGATGGTATGCCAAGTAAATAGATACCAAACATTACGTGCTTTAAAACTGTGCATGCCCCGTGCAATGGCGACAAACTGCATACATTTTTTATATCCATAGGCAACGCTTTAAAAGCCTTTACAAGATACCATTTTAGATTTACAGAAGAGGTCTAGTGCTAGAATTGCTGCCCTTGATCTGACAGTCGCGGCGATACCTCACATGCATGGTGCAGAATTCACGCACGCAGCTGCGTGCGTGCGCGGGAGAGTCGAGGGTGCTTTTTTTTTTCTTTAAAGTTAATTTGATTTTTTTAATTATTTTTACACTGTCCCTTTCATTTTTTTAACACTTTTAATGCTATCACAGGGAATGCAAATATCCCCTATAATTTAAATGGGCATTGTCATATATTCTTTTTTGAGAAATCTGCGATCTATCAGACTCTAGATATCTCCTCTGCCCTTACATTATCTAATCTCACCAAGATCGGTGTGATCAGATGCTTTCCCAATTTACAAATGGCGCTGTTTATATTCTGCGATACTGAAGTGATGAAATGCTCGCAGCTTCCGATTTCTTAGACTATAGAGATGATTGGCGCCATTCCGGTCTACAATCAGCTCTATGGTCAGCTGGCGGAAACACCGGCTGCATTCTCAGGTTCCCCTGATGGCATGGGACTGCATGAAAAGGCCGTGGAAGGCAGTGGGGGAGGAGGGGCATCTTCTCCCGCTGCTTGTAAAAGCAACGGTGCAGCTAATTAGCAACTAGAATTGCTTTTACATGAAAGCCAATCGCCGGCTGATAAAAAACAATACCAGGATAATGCCTGCAGCTGCAGGCATCATCCTGGTATAACCACTCAAAGTCCAGTCATGTACCAGTACGTCGCTGGTCCTTGTTGGGCATATATGCTATATTCTTTTTTTTTATGCAGCCTGTGGGCTGAATAAAAAAAAGAGAAGAAATCTCTGCCAGAAGAAGTGTGTGGTATGCCCACCATTAGAAGATACCTCCCTGCATCCACCCACTTCTAATGGTGGGCAGACATGAAATGTGCCAAAAAAAAAATATGATAAAATATATATGCCGAAGCATAGGGGCCATCCACCCCCTGGCCACCACAGGCCCCCATGCTTCAGCATATATGCTCTTTTTTTAACAACGGATGAAAAATCTCATCCAACAGTGCTGCCCACACTGACTTATGTATATTCTGAGAGCAAGTTCCTGTTGCTGTCAGAATAAACAGGTCGGTGCTGCAGCTGAATGACATTCCTGCAAAGAAAACAGCAATGGTTAACAATAAAACAGTAAAATTGTAACAGTAGAACAGTAACAACACAACAACAAAAAATATAACTATTTTTGGTTTTTAAAATTTTTTAGTTTTTTGGGGACTTGAACTTTTTATTTTTTGGGCTTTTTGTACTTTTTTTTTTTTAATGTGATAGCCAGTTTCCTGACTACCCAACATCTTTTGAGACCCTGTATAAATATGTACCCTGAACTGTGTTGTGCTAGTACCCTATACTAATACTCCACTAGTGTATGGTAGCAATGGAAGCAGTCCTTGAGACAGAGACCAGGTTGGCCAGGACAGGAGTCACGCCTAATTCCATATCTGTTGGCCAGGACAGGAGGAACAAAAAAAAAGCGTGTGTCACGTCTTATTCAGTGTCTGCTACAGACACGACGGCTTCTTTGGGGTGACCTTTGGGTTGGGGTACCAGAGAAAACATCCGGAAATGCCTCTCATGCAGCCTGCTATCTGCATCTGGATTTGAGAATTGGGCCACAGCACCTTCTGCATACAAAAGGGCTGTGATGATCTCTTCCTGGAATTTTAGAAGGATCCACTTCATCCAGTTGCTTTGTAAATTACAAAAGTGTTATATATAGCCAATTTAAAGAAATAAATAGAAACCTTTTTTGTACCAGTGTCGAGCTTTCCGGGAAACTAGGTACGGATTCATAATTTGGTCGTTGAAGTCCACCCCTCCCATATTAATGTTATAGTGGTGAACACAGAGGGGCTTCTCAACAACGCCAGATACCGTGTTTATTCGGACTGTCGCGTCTGCATGAATGGAAGACAGGACGAAAACATCCAGATTGTCCTTCCACTTCACTGCGAGCAATTCATCATTCTTCAAGCAGGCTTTCTCCCCCTTTCTAAGTTGGTTATTTACAAACCCTTGGGGGAAGCCCCAGTGATTAAGTTGCATGGTGTCACATGAGCCAATTTCAAGATTGTACAAATGTCTAAATAATGGCACGCTTGTATACAAATTGTCCAAGTGGTACCTCATACGGAACAAACACGACACGAAGTCCCAAACTATGTTGCCACTGCTCCCCAGTAGTCTGGGCAGTCGGGGGAGCTCTACTTCACTGTCTCTTCCCTCATAAACCCTAAATTTGTACATATAGCCTGTGGCCCTCTCACAGAGCTTATACAATTTGACCCCATATCTGGAATGTTTGCTGAGGATGTACTGTTTGAATGCAAGGCGGCCAGCAAAACGCAGATGTTTTGCTGGGGCGTATATACATCTGCAAATTTCTCATGAGGTGGTTTATGAGGGGCCAAATTTTGTACAGCCTGTCATGTTCAGGGTCACCCCGAGGATGATAGAGTGTGTTATCACTGAAATGCATGAAGCGCATTATTGTCTTCATATCTATGTCTGTTCATGACAACAGAGAACATGGGCATATGATGAATCGGGTCTGTGGACCAATACGGCCACAACTAATTTTTTTTTTTAATGCCCATGTTGAGAATTAAGCCCAAAAAAGTTTTAAATTCGGAAACCGTAATGGCTTTCCATGTGAATGGTCTGGCAAGGTTTGAATTTGGGTTGGTGGCGATATATTGTTGAGCATACAAATTCTACAAATCTTCTGTGAAAAACAGCTCCATAAAATCAAGGAGAGTAGTTAAATTTGCTGTTTCCACCTGAATCCCGAGTTGGGTAGCGAATGTGGGATGTACGGGTGCTGCAGAATCTGTGGGCTGCCAATCGGGATTTGAAATCACGTCCGGAAGGACACTAGAGGCTCTACGGGCCTGTGTGCGAATTCTTGATGGCTGCGGGATACTACTTGTGCTTGTCACCGCACCAGCTTGTACTTATGGGACTCGCCATGTCACCAAGTGATACTGCAGTATCGGTATGTGAAAGACCAGGATGTACTAGACCACTGATGCTCACCAATTCACCAAAAGCTAGCGCGGCACTAGTACTGGCACTTTGCTGCATATGAGACAAGTCATGCGATCAGCTTCATGGGGTTGGGTACGCCTGATCTTTACAGGGACCACTTCTCCATCATCAGAGCTACCTGTCAGGGTGCCGTTGCTGTCTACAGGTTTGTATTCTGAGAATAATTGTGTCAGAGAGTCTGCCCCTTCTGACATGCTCAGAATCCTGTAGGCCTCTTCAGTAGTGTACCTTTCGTTGGACATTTTGGACTCAAAATTTACAGGTACCTAGTACGACTCACCGGAAAAACAGCACCTGGCTATCAGGGACTGCTTGAACTGCTACAAAAAAAATTTACCGGCAAGTGCTAACAGAGATCAGGCCTGATTCTGTGAACACTGCGGTTTTGTGTGCAATGTATTACCGGTGACAGTGATCAGAAATTATACTGACACTTCTTGTTAGGGGTTGGGGGAAACATTGGGACTAAACGCTAGTGCTGGCAGTGAAAGGGGATGATTCTGCTAACAGTGTGTTTTTTGGGGACACTAATACTAAGGGGCACTGGTATAGTTTTGTTCCTGATCAATATATTGATCTGTACAAACACTATACTAGTAATGCAGTGATCAGCGACCTATAGCGTGAGTGCGATAGTGTGCGGGCAACCTAATGCTAGCTGACCCTGGCTGGAAGGTGCGCTAACTGACCCTGACACTATCTGATGTCGCTAGTGGCACTAATACAGTGATCAGTGAAAAATACTGTACACTGACACTATACTAATGGCACTGGCAGGGTGGCAGGGGGCAATCAAAGGGTTAAATGTGGCAATCAAGGGATTAAAATGTCTCTATCTAATGTGTGTGGGCACAGTATGCTGCTTTTACTCACGTGTGATGTCTTTCTTCTCTCTCTGGAATAAAATGGTTCCAGGGAGAGAAGAACCAGCTAGATCCTGTGCCTGTATTTACAAATACAGGCACAGCTCTGTATCTCCATTTGCTGTAGGAGATCGGCAAAGTTCTGGCCAAAATCACTGGCCGAGACCTGCTCACATACACCTCCTACAACGAATGACAGTGTGCATGCGCACTCTAAACCTGGAAGAGCAAAGTGACATACAGGTACGTTGCTTTGCCTGCAGTACATTGCGGGCGGGAAGAGGTTAAAAAACAAAACAATGACACCCAAAGTAAATACAGCCCCCCACCACCACACCAAAGCACTCAACCATGTTGGCCTGGTATGGTTCAGGGGGCGAGGGTCTCACCCCCCTTTCCTGGCCTGCGGGGCTGCATGCTTGGATAAGAGTCTAGTATGGATTTTTGGGGGACCCCAACACCATTTTTTTTGTCATGGGTTTCCCCTCAAAATCCATAGCTGGTATAGATTTGGGGGGGACCCCACATGTTTTTTTTTTAAATGTAATATGGTATGGGGTTTAAATCCATACCAGACCCTAAAGGCCTGGTAAGGATTGGGCGGGGGACCCAACGCTGTTTTTTTTCTGATTTTTTAATTGCGTGCAATCTTTTGTCTACATTCAGCTGTCAGGGGGAGATGATAAGTCATCTATTGTAAGGACATGGCGGCCCCACTCCTTAACAACACATTATTGACAAGAGAAGAGGGGAGAATTAAGAGATCAGAAATCGAAAAAAAAAACCCAGCTGGATTCGCATTGATGTGAACACAAGATTGGGATTTCAATCTGATCCCTTTGAAGTCTATAGAGATTAATTTGCACAGGAACGATTACACTCGCACAAGACTCTTTTTTTTTAACTAGATCCGAATTGCACCACATAGATGTTAATGGCCTTCATTGAAAACTATGTTTTTTCAGATGACATGCGAATCTATGCCTTTTGGATTGGATCAAATCCGCATAGAATTCATATGTATGAACCAGCACTTATACAGAGTGATGACCTAGTGTAGATCATGAGCCTAGCTGTGTTGCATAGTTCCGGCATATTCATTTTACATGTGTATTTAGCTTTCTGCTCAGCTATAAACAAATCTGAAGCTTTACTTTGGGACACACTTCTGTTTTTTTCTTATCTTCCTGGATTAGTTCCCTTTGGGAATGTATGTATTGATGTGTGCCCCTGAAAAAGAAAAAAAATGTTTATGATGATTTCTTGTGTTTCACATGACACCCTTGACGTCAGAGACCCTTGATAATAAACCCCTGGGAATGTTATCTACAGCCATGTAAGAAGCGTAAAACATTTTTTCACAGAAAGTTCTGCATTTAGGATGCAGATCTTCCTGTTCCAAGAGCTTGGACGCCGATTTCATTGTCGGCAGTAATTAATTTTGCAGTGAGAAGTTTCAGAGTTTATTCATTATGGAATGTAGAAAGTAATCCAGATGTCACTAAAGGAGACTGCATCCCCTAATCATCTAATCAGCCATACTAGCTTGCCATTCATGAATTCTTGAGATATATATATATATATATTTATTTATTTATTTATTTTTTGTTAATGAATCCCATCTGCAGGAGCAAATTGTATCATGCTTTTCTGGGTTTTTTGCCTTCCTCTGGATCAACTGTGGGTGTAGGATTATAACTTTTTTTTAATGGTTGAACTGGATGATCTTTTGTCTTTTTTCAGCCAAACTAACTATGTTACATGCTTGGGGGATGACTTAAAGGGTCATACCATCTAGGCTGGATCTAAAGGGGTGCTGGGGTGGGTTGTGCCCCCCAGATTTCCATGCTGCATGTAAAA